GCCTTTGGAAGCTTCTTGGAATTGGTTTTCGGATAAGCGGAGTAAGAAGAAATCCTTAGTTTCTGATGCTTGGGAATTTCTAAATTTGATTCCAAGCTTGGCTTATTAAGCATTTCGCGTTTAAAACCTGAAATTAGGAAACTTTCCGCCGGACAACATTACTATTGCCACCCTCTTATTCTTGCCAATGGAACTTGTTTATAGCTTTTCGGGCTCCAAACCTTGTTAGAAAGCAGATGTAGTCTTTCGGGATTCTTCGGGCTTGGCAACAATACATTATTGCCACCCCCTATCATAATGATATGGTACATTAGAGCTAAACCCCCTATTACAAAAGGCCAGGATGCATCAGAAAACTGAACTCTTTGATGGCAGCTCAAGTCGGCCATGTTTTGCAGGGGTCAGTAGGCTCGCTGACGATCCTGGGATTTAGGGATTCCGGATTAAGGTTTAGGGTATGGGTTTGGGGTATAGGATTTAGGATGGTTCAGGGCACCCACAACCTTTTTATCACATTGGTGGCTGTTACAATCATAACTGTTGTCGTCATTGCGATTATTGGATTTCTTCCTGCACTGACTCTCTCTGAGTGGATTTACTGGATTTACTCCTTTTCCATTAGTATTGCTATTTCTATCAGCAGCGGCAGCAACAGTAAGAGGAAGTAGGAAGAGGACGAGGAGGAGGAGTTGGAGGAGAGGTGTCACTTGGACAACTTAGGAGCGGTCACGAAGCATTAGTGCTGAAATTAGTGCGGTATATTGCTGGAAAGTGTCTCTGTGTTCGCACTGATGCCAGGTAGCTGGCCTCAGTGACCAAGAAATTGTGCAGCCTGGCGCTTGTCCAACTTGACATGGTTGCTTGGGCTGATGTTGATCGCAGCAGTCCCAACAAGGCTGCTCCCCGGCTCCGCAATCGGGCTGGATGAGCACCAGCCCCGGTAATTGGAGAAGCGCTGTCAGGGCAGTGCCTGAAGATGAGCAGCTAGCACCCCGGACAACTCTCGCTACAGCATCCAAACACTGATATCCCAAGGCTTTGCAGCAAGTCCACGCGTGTCGACATCCTCAAGTCATCTAGACAGGTTCGGACGCTAGGGCTTCTCACGCCACTTGTCACCACTCGCAAGTCAAGCGACGGACTCTGAAGCACAGTGACAAGCTTAGCACTTCCTCTGGGTCAGCGCAGCTCCCACATCAGCAACACTCCTTGCTAGGAGTTCATCCAGCGGCACATCGAGCCTGGCACTTGAGCAGGGTGTGTGAAGACTTGGAGCATGCACCCTACGCCCGATGTGAACCCTGAACCCTAGAAGCTGGAGTCGTCGCCGCCTTTTGTGACTTAAGGCCATCCCTTGGCAAGACGTTGCATGATGTCAGTGACATCGCCCTGCCGGCATCTCAGTCTTCTCGTTTTGTTGATTCAATTAAGCTTGCCCCCCCCCCTTCCCCCCCGGTCTCTCTCTGTCTCTCCACTCCCTCTCTCTCTCTGAGTCTCTCCCCCTCCCTCTCACTCTCTCTCTCTCTCTCTCTCTCTGTCTCTCTCTCCCTCTCCCTGATTATGATTTCATACAACAGTATGTATATTTACCGTAGGTATGTAGATGTATAATATGTTTCCACGTGTGTCTTACATTTTCGGCGTAGCTGTATTGGTTCATGACATCAGCTACAGTGGCTGTCAGGTATGCCCTGGGCCAGGAAAAGGTGCAGCAGGAACAGGAAGCCCTCCTTCAGAGGCAGGAGATGTGAGTCTTGTATGGTCTACGGTTTAGGATTTAGGGTTTGATCCAGAACATGAGAGAGAGAGAGGGTTTGGGGTCTAGGGTTTAGCATGTATATAGGGTTTCTGATTTAGGTCTTGGGCTTTTCGTTTAGGGATGGGGTTTAGAGTCTAGACGCTTACAACAGGGACCCCTGCAACCTTTTTAAAGTTCCTTCGTATCCTAGGGCACCTCTATTCTGAGAAGCGCAGAGATGGATTCATCAGTAAAAATAGGAGCTTACGTAGGGTCACAACTGCTGGGAGAGAGTCTTCATCCACAGGATTGCAGCCGGTATGTACGTGTGCGTGCGTGTTTGGATTTTGTTGGATTAAGTCTTGATTGCCGCCAAGTCAGGAAAGTAAATGTGAGCGTTGGAACTTATGATTGTGATCCCTTAAACAGTACACCCTAAACCGTAAACGCTAACCGCTCTCACGTCTCAAGGCTACGGCGAAGCGAAGCCATCTTTGATACGCAGTCAGCTCCACAGAGATCAGTGCAACCTAATGGGCGCATGTTTCTGGGCGTGGCAACAGTATGCAATAGGAATGGTAGTAGTAAAGATAGTAATGGCACTAGTAATAGTACCAAATAGTAATACTAACAATAGCAATAATGGAATAGTAAAAGTAAGAGTAGTACAAAGTGATAATATACTCCTGCCAAAGCAAGAGCTGCCTTCAACATGCCAAAGGTCTGTTTCTGTTCGGCTGACTGATCTGAGGCGCAGGTTCTTCATCAGCAAGCACCTGCCGCAACACGCTGCCTGGGCCCATTCGATGAAAGTTTCCCAGCAAGAGGGGCCTTTGTTTTGGAGGTGCGGGGCCTTAAAGTAACCGCATCACATGGCTAGGAAACAATATCAATGCAAAAAAAGATGTTGACGTTCAGACTACTCGTAGCAGCAGCAGTTGCAGCAGCAGCAGCAGCAGCAGCAGCAGCAGCAGCGCAGCGGTAATGGTGCCAAGAGAAACAGCTAGACAGCACTAGAAGAAAGTGGCCGTGGCATAGATCAGATCACTTGCTAGAGTGATATATTAGCCCAGGGGAAACTAAAGCCATCTCATATCTGAAGCCCGAGAACTCCAAACCCCGGAACCTTAAAGCCTAGAACCCTAGGACACTAGATCCTAGAAACCCTAAAGCCTAGAGCGAATCTTTGGGCCCAGCGTTCAGCAGTTTGTGGGCCCCTCCCCTCGCCTCCTTGGCGGATGTGCGTGTGGCAGGCCGGACAGGGCTACTATCTTGCCCAAAGGAAGGCTTTACTGATTAGTTAATACAAGGTTGTATAGGGATGTATTTGGTGTTGTAATTGCTAAGTATAAGGTTACACAGGTGTAGGGTTTGGGGATTAAGGGTTTGGGGCAGGGAAGGCTAGAGATATACAGGGTTTGGGGGTATATGGGTTGTATAGAGATACATAAGTATGCATATGTTGTGTTAAGGGGCTGGGGAAGAAAGAAGAACCAAATGGTCAGAAACAGATGGAACATGAACTGGAAACTGGGAGTGAGGGTTAACTTGCTGGTCATTCGTAGCGGGGACGGTTTAGGGTTTAGGGTGTAGGAATGGGCAAACTACCATGTTATTGGGGGCTGTATGGGGGCTACTGTAGCAAGGAATGTGGAAAACAACATGGAAACTGCTATTCAGGGTTCAGGCACTGGCAAGGAGCAAGTTCTGGGTTCAAAAGGGAAAGGAAGATTTACGTTATGATCTTGTTAAGGACGCTATAGTATGAGGGCTAGTACATGCTAGTACAAAGATCCGTGCTCCTTTCCCTGCCAGCAAGCAGTACGAAAAGAGAGGACCTACAAGGTCTAGGCAGCAAGTTTGGGCATTCCCTTTGTGAGTGTAGCTCCCAGAAACCTTCTTTGTATTTCAGCTCTTTTTGAGCGTTGGCACCGCTGATGTGCATAACCTTAAAACCCTACTGGCAAGGGATCTAAGGCTAGAAGTATGGGCCTTAGGCCCTTCATGGGGATTCTAGGGACCCTTCAGGGTACGTGTGGGGTACAAAAAAGCCCAATAGGCCCATACAAGGGGCGCATGATTTCAACCCTTAGAATGGAGCCAGGCTCCTGCAAAACTGTGGACGTGAGAGCCTATGTGCGATGAATGGAGCCCTTCCGCCCGGCAGGCGGGCTAAGGTCTCGAGAATGTGCGCGCTTTACTGCTGCAAGGGGTGCGGGAACGAAAGTGCACAGGAGTCAAACTTATTGACGGAATTTCAATGCAGGCCTTCTTCAAGCTGCAACACCTGAAACAAGTGCGGTGCCATGTGCCTTTTGGCCCAAGTCGTTCAAGCAGGGCTAGCGCGAGACCGCCATGAATCGCCAGGAGTTTCTAGAAGGCACTCTGCAGGAGATCAAGGAACATGTGGCTCAAGGCAGGGCAACCAGATTGCTCGTCCTTCTGCCGGAGAGCCTCCTCTTGACATCAGCTCTGAGTTAGAATCGTAATGCTGATAACGAGAAATACCATGATTAGTAACTGCTATTATTGATACTATTTGGTTCTGGTTGAATTCGAATTTCCCGTGCCAAGGAAAATGCGCAATGCATCCATCATGAGCAAGTCATGTGACGTTGATCTGGAGCTGCTTGACGAAGGCTGGGAGTTCGGAACCTGCTCTAGCTTCAACTCCAAAAGAACCCTAAGCCCTGAACCCTAAGCAAGATGGCATACGGCGTCTCTGGAGGCCACGCCAGACGGACTAGTCAAGTTGCAGCTTGCAGGGCAGGTACACAGCATATTCAGATGCACTACTTCTGCCTGAGAGCCTGCGGCTGTCCGCGTGACAGTTGCAATGAGAACTATAAGAGGCATCTGCTTGCGATTGCTAACGCGATGCTTCTGGAAGTGTGCTCTTTGTCAACTGCAAGCTATGACGCTGCTCTGCCCAGGTCTGAAGGCCTGCGAAGCAGTGAGCGTGGAGTGCCTATGCTGCATTTGCCAACAGACGCTGCCCTGCGATGCGCTGGACATGCCGGAGGATCACCGGTGCTTCAACTCGCTCGGAGCTGAGTTGCCGCCAAAGCATTTGTACTACCATAATAAGCTGCGCTTCGCTGCTTTGCGAGCTGAGTTGTAGCTTTGTAGTGCATCCCGTTACACTTGAGATCAGGGCTGGGGACCAGGGGAATCGAATTATGCCTTTTCGCAGCATTTGGTCCCAATACGAGCAAGGCGAGCTGCAGATTGTGAGTTGTACATGTGTGTAGGCACGCTTCAGGAAGTCCCAGATCTTGAAGCGCTTGCTGGCAAAGCTGGTCGATAAGTTCGACCCCTTTGACTACGATCATGGAGACATCACGAGGACATCAGTCATGTTTGTCTATGACATGCCACTCAACTTGATGGTTGCTAGTCAGGAATGGAGGAAGGGACGACACCAAGTTACCAAGGGCTGCTACTAGAGGGATCCATTCCTGCATTCCCCACTCAGCACCAGCAAGCCAACGCAAAATGCAAATTTTAATTTACTATCATTATTGCTATAATTACTAGTATTATTACTATTTACTATTTTACTATTATTACCATTACTATTAATATTATCGTTTGTATTAGTATTTACTGTTGTTACTATTACAATTAGCATTTGCCATGCAGGCTCGTGGTCGCGAGGCATGCTCAAGCGTGCCAGATGCAGGCTGAAAAGAGGAGAAAAGTGCGCGAAACGATCAGCGCAAACAGGCGATTGGAGCTAAGGGCGATGCTTCGGGCCGCTTCGAGAAGCCGGGTAAGGATCAGAACTTGAAGGGGATATAGGGGTTATACAGGGATAGTGGAAAAGAACATGGAAGCTACTATTTAGGGTTTATTTTTCTATTTCAATGGCTTCTAAGTGTCGGGCTCTGAGCGGAAGGTACCATTTTTGAGGCAGCCCCAAATGTTGGGGCCCACCACCCGCCTGAAGTAGGGTTTCTGTTAAGGGTTTAGTCAGTGTATACAGGTATGGTATAAAGGCTTTCGGGATGTTGGTGATTGTATACATGTGGTGGCCAGTTTGGGAGACCATGATTGAAGATCCTACCATACTTGAAGGTTCAAGGGACTTGACTGCTACTGTTTTTATTATTTGGGTTATAAGCCTTCTACTTATATTCCGGCTAACTGGATTCGTTGAGGAAACTTGTAATTATACTCCCCCCTAGCTGAACTTATTAAAGGTAATTATAATCCCCCTAGCTGGACGTATTAAGCCCTGAACCCCAAATGACTGTGGATTTTGCAGCAAAGCGAAGGAAAGAAAACGCTTCGCATAGAGCGGCTCAGGGATTCCATGGGCCAGGACTTACTATCATTAGGGTTCATGATTTGGGGTTTAGG